TGCACCTCAACTCCTTCCCACCGCTTCCTTTCCTTGGAGTTCCCAGCCTCCTCCTTCCTCCCATTCTCCCTAATACCTGGCCCCTCTCTGAAGGAGTCCTGTCAGTCCCTGCAGTATCTCTAAAACCCTGTTTCCAGAGCCCTGATTCTCCCCCCACACTTGTCCAGTGCAGACACGTTCCTGGGGGGCCTGAACCCCCCCCCCGGCTCAGTTTAAAGTCTTCTGGATGAAGCTCGCTAGAGCATCTCCAAAGGATCTTTTCCCCATCCTCGTGAGGTGTAACCTGTCCCTTGCCAGAAGTCCATTGGCAAGAAAATGAGTGCCGTGGTCGAGGAACCCGAAGCGTTCCTTCTGGCACCACACCCTAAGCCACCACCCTAACCTCGGAGGCCCTCCTGTCCCTTCCTGGCCCAAATACTTCTGGGTCCAGATTTTTTTTTCCAGGAATGGCCTCACCACTGCCTGTTTCAGGTGGTATAGGACCTCTTACTCTTGTAAAAAGGCATTGATCACCTCTGGGCCCAGCAACTTTTCCGTCCCTGCTAGCTTTTATAAGCCAAGAGGGATAAGGATCAAATATGGATGTGGTTGCACAATCCTGGCCAAGCACCTTGTCAACATCCTTAAACTAAACCAACTGAAACTCATCCAATAAAATTAACTAGGCTGTGCTCTGGGAGCTTTACCTGATTCAAATATTGTTAACACTGAAGCCTAAGTCCTAGCAGATAAAAGGATTTTTTTTCTTGGATGTTCCTAGTGAATATATTGCACCACCCATTCTAAGGTGTCCATGGGCCCAGTGTGTAACAGCCCCAGATGACCGTAAAAAGCTGTGTAATGGTGGCAAATAGTCAGTTAATGAGCAATTCTGAGGTTAACAACCCATAGTCCCTGGATTTCCACATCATGAAATACTCTTTGAGTCCAACATAGGCTGCATATTCCAAGTGCCCACATCACATAGTCCATCAAATTGTAAGTTAATTGATTAACCCATGATCTGCCACCCTTGTGGGTAAACAGGCCTATTAATGCGAGCCCCATTGAGAATCCAGTTGGTAAAACTTATATAAATGCTTAAATAAATTAGGGGGAACAGTGAACATAGAGGATGCATTCACTGCTTCCACATTCAAAAGCAAAATTTGTCTTTAAGGTCTGACCCTATATTGCCTTTGCAGTACCTTAAATTCCACTGTTTTTCATCATAGATGCCTGTGCTGTACATTCAGTAGTGTCAGAGGGGAATAACTTTTCACTTTCTTCATCTTAAAATGATGATGATAAAGGAAGAGGAATGTAAACAAAATCTAAATAATCTGTTAGACCTTTAATTAGAGATCTGGAGTATTTACCAGGGGAAAATTTTAGTCTAATTATGAAAAGGAAGGGTATTTAACTTCTTAATAGCTTTGTGGTAATTGCAAATGCTTTTACAGGTTATATGCAAATGCTGAGCTAAAGTGCCAGAGACATATGTATGGAGTATTGGTAACACAATGGATGTGTAGTGTGTATGATTTAGCTAATATACCTTAACTCTGAAGCCAGATTTTAACTGAGGAAAGGGCTTATGCCCACTGAATAATGGAATACCTAAAGCAGGGATGGACAAAGGAGGGAACCACACTCGTGATGGTGGCAGTGATGACAAACTGATGGATTGTTGCCAAAATTCAGTGACAAGCCATTCCATAATGCTGTGTCACAGCAAATGGGTTAATTTTAGCTTGTTTGCAAGCAAATATGGCCCCTTTAGTGCTGGCTTTAGGTCCTAGAATATCACTGCCTCTTCATGGCCTTGAATACAAGTAGATCTTAATTGAGTTATGAACCATGGTACATATATGGATGCACATGGAAAAAGTACTACCAGAAGATGCAGCTGAAAGCCAAGTACATGTTGTTGGCAGTTTCTTTCTGGCGTTGTCCTCTATTCTGGGTCGTGCTGCAGTTAGAATCTCCAGGGGCTACAGAATGAACAAATTTTGTCACAAAACCAGTGCAAATAAATATGAGGTGTAAAAGGCAACAGAGAACTGAGGAGTTACTGTTTTTCTCTGTCCACATTTCTGACGGTGATGTTGAGATGGAGAGATAGAGGCAGCCAAAAGAAAATGCTATGATAATGTGTGACTTCAGTTATGGTCGTATTGTGAGTATTTGTTTTTCGGCGCCAGGCGAAGACCTTTTTATTTATGCAGCATTTTAAATGTTAATATTATTGAATTTTATTCGGCCAGGGCGGCTTATTTTATTTTACTGTATATATTTTAATTGTCATTGTTTTAATGTATTTTGTATTCGATGTTGTAAGCCGCCCCGAGGCCTTGGCAAGGGGCAGCATAGAAATGTTTAAATAAATAAATAAATAAATAAATAAATGGCAAGAAGTCAAAATTGCTAGAAACAGTCAATATTATTAGTCCTACTGCTATGGATTTGAATTTTCCCATGCTTCTGGGAATGTAGCCAAAATCACATTATGCATGTACAAGGAGACCCTGGTTAACCCTGTTTTTCTTTCAGAGGGAGAAAAAGAATCTGAAGGAAAAAATAATGGGGAAAAGGCACATGTGACCAACATATACTACCCAAAAGAGATAGGGGTGGGTGGGAAGCAGACTAATAAAACATAGAAACAGAGGGAGTCAGAAGGGGTCTCCCGGGCCATCTAGTCTGACCCCCGGCTCCAGCCGGCTCTGCTCACAACATGCTGCCCATGACATAAAGACCCTAGTGCTCAGGGCTTTGTGTGGCTGTATTCATTTCAATGGGTCTGGTGTAAGTAAGACTAACATTGGATAAAACTGCGGGTAAACACAGAATGCTGACTGATATAATGCTGTCAGGAACCGTGCATGTTAGCTCTCTACACTGCAACACTTTGTTGCACACCTCTGCTGGCATCCCTGAATACTAACCACTAGAGACATATAGCAAGCGAAGGCCAGCACCTTCATATCCTGCTCATTTTCCAGAGGCATCTGGCTGGTTTTGTCTAGAAACAAAATGTTGGACTAGGTGGACCTCATCAGATTCTCCAAGGCAATTCTGAAATTGAGATCTGAATTGTTAGCATCATTCCTTTGGGTGACCTAATCATGGCAAACTGCCCACTTCATTCCAAGCAAGATTCTTTTGAAAACCTTTGTGTCCTTCTCTTCACAGACTGCAGGCTCCTTTGGGATTATGTCTATCAGCTGCTGTCAGACAGCCGGTACGAAAACTTCATCCGATGGGAGGACAGGGAATCCAAAATATTTCGGATAGTGGATCCTAATGGGCTGGCACGGCTGTGGGGGAACCATAAGGTAAAAGGCAGCCTAGCTTTGGTGCTTCAGAGTGTTGCTTACCTACTGTGGTTATACACCAACCCAGCAATGTTGAATGGGGGGCAGGAAAGAGAAAGGGGGAAATAGGATTTTGCCAGAGAAATGTGTTTCTTTTCCCAAAGCACACAGAAAAATGCAAGAATCCTTCTAATATACCACTTTCCTCTTCTCTTATTTAATGGTCAGGATGATGCTCATTTTATTAGTGTAAAACAATTGCTTTTAGTACCCCTTAGAAATACTGGTCTGTTGAAGGTTGGTTTGCCTTCCCTGCTTAACAAGTGGGAAACATCATTTATATGGGAGAAAGTAAAAGGGTGTACACTGAGCTAATTTTGCCATTTATTATTACACTTGTGTGGATGGAAAGTTTATATAGTGCACAAATAAATCCTGGCTCAGCAAGCCATCTGCTACCCCAGAAAATCCACTGCTGATGAGGACATGCCATTCACCTTCAGTGAGAGAGGGCAGGCTGTGTCCTCACTGCAACAAGGTCCTCAAGCCTAGCATTTGTGAGCCTTTCACAGGCAGCTGATGACCATAACAGGAACAGAATACTGTACTACATCACCTCTTGCTTTGATCCAGCTAGTCTCTCCTTATGCTTATACTTCTCTACAAAGGTAAATATTAGCTTACTCTGGAAAATATTAAGAGACAAGGGCACCAAAAATCAACACAGCATTAATCTTGTCTATAGTCTGACCTCTTGGTGTATCCAGACTCCTTATTCTTGGTCCATGCCAGAGTGTGACAGAATTGTAAGAGCTGGGACTTTTATTATATAGATTGGTAAAATTATTTTCAAATTTGTTTTACAAGATAGGAGGTAAAAAAAAACAAAGGGAAACATGGGCATGGCCCATTTTCCTTTCTTTTTATGTAATTCTTGCTTAATGCTTTCCTTTTTTTACTTTGAAATAAACAGAACAGAACAAATATGACATATGAGAAAATGTCTAGAGCGTTGCGCCACTACTACAAACTAAATATTATAAGAAAGGAGCCAGGACAAAGGCTTTTGTTCAGGTAATACTTCCTCATTTTTCTTGTTCCTTGGGGAATTAATTTTGCTAAATCATTATGGATAAGCTTGGAGGAAGTTATAAAATCAAATGATTGTTTCTCTGCAGCTATTCCTTCGTTGTGTAACAAAACAGTCATGCATGTGCTTGATCAGAAGAGCCTTACATTGGTGGGTAAGGAGCATGGCAAACACCTCCTTAGAGGAAGGCATTACTCTACCAGCTTTCAGGTGGCTGTTGTAAAGCCTCTCTTGAAAAGGCCTTGTTCACACCCACTGTGTTGGATAAACACTGATCCATCTCAAATTTGCCATTCTTGGGTGTTCAAGCTTGCAGTAGTAACACATCAGTTCCACAAGCTCTTGAATGAAATAGATTATCTGAACTCATTTTAATATTGTTTCAGCCCTGGTGTTGGAGATGATACAAGTTTGCTTGCCTTCATAGTCAAACTTCTCCAGGAACTGAACAGGGAGAATTTGTTGTTGACCCATCGCAACCCCATGGACAACATTCTTCTAGGCCTTCCTCTCCTCCACCATCCCTCGGAGTCCACTTAGGCTCACACCAATTGTTCCAGTGACTCCATCTAGCCACCTCATTCTCTGCCGTTCCCTTCTTCTTTTGTCATCTATTGTTCCCAGCATTAGGCTCTTCTCCAGTGAGTCCTTCCTTCTCATTAGCTGGCCAAAGTATTTGAGTTTCATCTTCAGTATGTGGCCTTCTAAAGAGCAGTCATGGTTGATCTCCTCTAGGACTGACCCGTTTGATCACCTTGCAGTCCAAGGGACTCGCAGGAGTCTCCTCCAGCACCACAATTCAAAGGCCTCAATTCTTCAGCGCTCAGCCTTCCTTATGGTCCAGATTTCACAGCCATACATTGCAACTGGGAAAACCATAGCCTTGACCAGGGGTCGGCAACCCGCTGCTCCGGAGCCACACGTGGTTCTTGAACCCCTCTGCTGCGGCTCCGTTGCTCAAAACATGCGCCGGCACAGCCGCTGATCTGCTCGAAGCTCCACTCAGGAGCACAGTGCTAGCTAGTTAAGTAAATCAGCTAGTTATGCTACATTCCTCTGCTAAACAGGCTTCCTGCAGGCTCTCATGTTACATGAAAGGCTGCTGAAAAGATTCTCTTTCTCCCAGTGTAATCTCCTTCATCTGAATGTTAAAAGCTGGGCTTGGGACCTGTCACAATTCACAGCACTAGACTGTTTATCTGCTAATCAGTCATTAACACACCTATATCTGCGCTGATCTGTGACCCCCACCGATTTACTGAGCTTCCCCCCACCCCTCCCCATAGGCCAACCATGGATAAATCAAAGAAAGTTTCTGAAGATAACGTGGGTAGATTCATTTGCTGACCAACTTATGGGGTTTGCGGTTTAATGCATGCAGCCCTTTAGCACTGACTTTGACTCTTCAGGAAGCTGTTCTCCTATTCAAAATATATGAAAAGAGTCCTACTAGTTTATAATGTAAGATTAAAAATAACAGTTTTTAGTGACTGAACAAGAGCTGCGGCTAAATCATGATGAAGATATACATAACATTAAGGTAAAAAATGATATATGCAGTGTTATCTTCATTTTAGATGTCAAAGGGGTTTTGCGGCTCCCGGTGTTTTCTTGTGTGTAGGAAACGGGTCCAAATGGCTCTTTGAGTGTTAAAGGTTGCCGACACCTGGCCTTGATTATACGCACTTTTGTTGGCAGGGTGATGTCTCTGCTTTTTAGTATGCTGTCTAGGTTTGCCATAGCTTTCCTCCCCAGGAGCAAATGTCTTTTAATTTCTTGGCTGCAGTCATTGTCTGTGGTGATCTTGGAGCCCAGGAAAATAAAATCTGTCACTATCTCCATTTCTTCCCTATCTATTTGCCAGGAAGTGAGACAACTGGATGCCATGACCTTAGCGTTCTTAATGTTGAGTTTCAAGCCAACTTTTCCACTCTCCTCCTTCACCCGCATCAAGAGGCTCTTTAGTTCCTCTTCACTTTCTGCCATTAGAGTGGTATCATCAGCACATCTGAGGTTGTTGATATTTCTCCCTGCAATTTTAATTCCAACTGGTGATTCATCTAGCCCCACCTTTCCCATGATGTGCTCTGCATATAAGTTAAATAGACAGGACGACAGTATGCAGCCTTGCCAAACTCCTTTCTCAATTTTGAACCAATCTGTGGTTCCATGTACAGTTCTCACTGTTGCTTCTTGATCCACATTTAGGTTTCTCAAGAGACAAATAAGATGGTCTGGTACGCTCATCTCTTTAAGAACCTGCCACAATTTGTTGTGATCCACACAATCAAAAGCTTTAGCATAGTCATTGAAGCAGATGTAGATGTTTTTCTGGAACTCTCTAGCGTTCTCCATGATCCAGCATATGTTAGAAATCTGATCTCTAGTTCCTCTCCCTCTTCGAAATCCTACCTGTACTTCTGGTAGTTCTCAATCCTAGCTTGTAGGATTTTGAGCATAACTTTACTAGCATGTGAAATGTGTGCAATGGTGCTGTGGTTTGAACATTCTTTGGCATTGCCCTTCCTTGGGATCGGAATGTAAACTGACCATTTCCAATCCTGTGGCCAATGTTGAGTTTTCCTAGATTGCTGGTACATTGAGTGTAGCACTTTTACTGCATCGTCTTTTAAGATTTTGAATAGATCAGCTGGAATACAGTCACCTCCACTAGCTTTGTTGTTGCTCAGACTTCCTAAGGCCCATTTGACTTCACATTCCAGGATGTCTGGCTCGAGGTCAGTGAGCACCCCATCATGGTTATCAGGGACGTTAAGCTCTTTCTTGTATAGTTCTTCTGTGTAATCTTGCCACCTCTTCTTAATCTCTTTTGCCTCTGTTAGGTCCCTGCCATTTTGGTCCTTTATCATGCCCATCTTTGCATGAAAAGGTCCCTTCATATCTCCAAGTTTCTTGAAGAGATCTCTGGTCCTCCCTATTCTATTGTTTTCTTCTATTTCTTTGCACTGTTCATTTAAGAAGGCATTCTTATCTCTTCTAGCTATTCTCTGGAATTCTGCATTCAACTGGGTGTATCTTTCCCTTTCTCCCTTGCCTTTCGCTTCCCGTCTTTCCCCAGCTTTTTGTAAAGCTTCCTCAGACAGCCATTTTGCTTTCTTGCATTTCTTTTTCTTTGGGATGGTTTTAGTTGCTACCTCTTCTACGATGTTGCGAACTTCCGTCCATAGTTCTTCAGGCACTCTGTCTATCAGATCTAATTCCTTAAATCTATTTGTCACCTCTACTGTATATTCATCAGGGATATGATTTAGGTCATGCCTAGTGCTTTTCCCTACTTTCTTCACTTTAAGCATAAATTTTGCAACGAGAAGCTCATGATCTGAGCCACAGTCAGCTCCTGGTCTAGTTTTTACTGACTGTATATAGCTTCTCCATCTTTGGCTGCAGAGCATATAGTCAATCTGATTTCTGTGTTGACCGTCTGGTGATGTCCATGTGTAGAGTCGTTTCTTGGGTTGTTGGAAAAGAGTGTTTGCTATGACCATCGTATTCTCTTGAAAAAATTCTACCAGCCTGTGCCCTGCTTCATTTTGTACGCCAAGGCCAAACTTGCCTGTTATTCCGGTTATCTTTTGGCTTCCTACTTTAGCATTCAAATCCCCCATGATGATAAGGACATCATTTTTTGGGGTTAATTCTAGAAGGTGTTGTAGGCCTTCATAGAACCGGTCAACTTCAGCCTCTTCAGCACCAGTGGTTGGGGCATAGACTTGGACTGCTGTGATGTTGAATGGTTTGCCTTGGATTTGAACTGAGATCATGCTGTCATTTTGGAGATTGTATCCCAGTACTGCTTTTCCTACTCTTTCATTGACTATGAAGGCTACTCCATTTCTTCTGAGGGATTCTTGCCTGCAGTAGTATACCTGATGGTCATCTGAATTAAATTCACCCATTCCTGTCCATTTTAGTTCACTGATACATCCCTGTTTGTTCTGCTGTAGTTGTCACTAGGATTCAATGCCATCAATCCTGCTATTGTTCTGGACCACATAGCAGGATTGTTCCTGGAAGATACCATTTTTAGTTGGCAGTCCTTGTTCAAAGAACATTTCCAAGAAGTGGAGTTGGGGAACTCATGTTGGTTTCCTTGGCTGTTGGTCTATGATATCTTGCATGGATAGATCTTTTCCTCTGTGCCATGTAATGTCTTTGTGGAACTGCAAAAAGAGCTCATCTGAGAATTCAGTGTATATTGTCACCAATATGTGGATGTCATATAACTTGATTCTGACCTGGGGTTTGAATAGGCAATAAATGGCTAGATTATTGCTATAAAATTGAAGCTTAAATCAGGCAAGAAAGAGGTGTCCCTGATGGAGAAGAAAGACCATCGAATAGGAATTCAAACTTTTTTGGGTGGGGGAGAACTTCCATTGAATAAGCCAGTTTGAAGTCTGAGGTGCTCCAGAACTCAGGTTTCCATCTGAAGGACCAGATGGCCAGATGTGCCTTTGGCCAGTTGAGGCTGATCCATACTCCACTCATTTATGAGGAGGTGACACCTGGCCACAGTAACCTATGTATTAATTACAACCAGCTTGGAATATTAGAATATGCACTACATGAACAACTTTGAGGGCTTCAGTCAGTCCAGAAGGCAGCTGCAAGGATGTTGGTGGGCATATTCTGTGGGGATCATGTTATCTCAGCCTTGCACAGCTGAGCTACTTATCAGTGTGCTTATGGACAGAAATTGTTAGTAATTATCTTTATATGTCTAAAAGGTCCAGATCCAGTTTAGGACTGCCTCCTTCCATATTGTTCTGTCTGCTCCCTAAGATCAGAAAGCAAGACCATTTTCTGTGTCATCTAAAATCTTATCATGTTTGAGTTGAAAGAAAATGTGAATGGCCTTCTCAGCCAGATCATGTCCCATGAAGTGTTCTTGGCCCTTTCCTTGCTGTTTTCTGCTGCTTTGTCATATCAGTCTCCTGTTGGATGTGACGGAATGTTTTCACGGGTTTCTTTCAACTGTTGCTCATGCCTCATTGGTTGTTTTACATTGTTTTTGTGAGGTTGTAATGATTAAGTTTGTAACTTGGCCTCAGTGGTGCTTTTGCCCCAGAAGCATGTGATACACCTAACTGTTTTAATAAAAACAAATAAATAAATGAAACTATCTGTCTAAAAGCAAACTTCTGAACTTCTCAGAAAGTTTTGCCAGTTTACTCCCCATAATCCATCATCATCAGGGCCTTCCCTGAGCACACTGTGGGGCCTACATGTGCACTCTGTCATCTCAATTTATTCTTGTTATTAGCTTGGTCAAGTTTCCACTTCAGCAGTGAAGCCGTCATTGTCACTCAAAAGAAGTTAGACATAGTACAAACAATTAGATTTTATATTTCATTATTCATTGTATTTTCATAAAATTTGGGTAACACTTTAACTGAAGTCATTGTTCTAAGGTAGGACCTTTCCAGGTTCTAGTGACAAGAGGGCACTTTTTCAGTTAAAACAAATGAACACATGAGATTGTCCAATACCAAATCAAAGCCCTGGTCTTCCAAACTATCTACACTGACAGGCAGCAGCTTTCCAAGGGCTTAGGCACTTGTATTCCTCTTTAGCTAGAGAGACCAAGCATTAAACCTGGGAACTTCTGATGCTCTCCGAGTGAGCAGTTCCCTTTCCTTCTGAAGGTCACTCTTTCAAGCTGCTTTGTTCCATGAGTAACTCAAGTGGAAGTGAAGGGTAAATATGGAATAGCAGGGCATTACGTATTGTCTATATCAGTTTGGGATTCTGCAGGTTCTTTCTTTGGTTGCAGGAGTCTGGTTTCTGGAAATAGGGCTGCTTCACTTGTTGCATTTTTAGGCACTAAAACATATGTTAGGTGTTGTGCACACCTGACATACATATTGATGTGTTTTGCACAACACACCAGTCCACCATGGGTAACCAGACATGAACCAGGGCTAAAACATTTCTATGCATGCTAAGAACTAAACACAGTCCTTTACATTTGTACTGATTTGCTTTTAAAGGTTCATGAAGACCCCAGATGAGATTATGAGTGGCCGCACTGACCGCCTGGAGCATCTTGAATCTCAGGAACTAGATGAGCAAATATACCAGGAAGATGAGTGCTGAAGGAACATGTTCCCTTGCTTCGCTTTGGTCTGTGGAAGAACAGTCTGTACAGAGGCACATTCATGTGGGAAATGAAACCCAGGACTCAACATTTACCTTGGAGACCCGGCAGAGCCCCAGAGCACCTTAGCAAAACAAATCCATTGGCAAGGGTAGTGTTGGCAGTAACATTTGGGAGAAAGAGAAAAAGAAAGAGAGCACTACTGCATTGTTGGTTTTTAGATTCTCCCTTGCCCCAGTGTGTTTTTAGTTTTCCATTTTTGTTTGGTTGGCTTGGGATTTTATTTTTCTCATTAACATGCCATTTGGCCTTTTTTAATGACTTTTGTAGAGCGAAACATCTGGCTTTTTCTTATGCGGATTTCCTATGGAAATGTAGCACAACTGTTTTCTGTGCCAAGTATCACAATATGATTACAGCATAGGAACAAATAGTGGCAAATGTCACATGAGGGGTCTGAAAATGTCTCCAGTTGTCTAAAGAGATTTTATTCACTCTTGTCACAAAGGTAAAATACCTTGGACTGCAATCTATGATTGAGGGTTTAAGAAATGGAGAGAAGTGCTGATTGAAAGTCTGGGAGATCTGACTGGCATATATTCAGCTGGTGTTAGGTCTTGCAAGTGTTGGATAACTCCCAGAGTGCACAGACTTTATTCAAGCACCTCAGTATGCAGGAATTAGAAGGAAATAGGAGAAGCTCTAACAAAACACAGTACAGTTCCTCAGGGGTTTCCAGCTCAAGGAAGATGTAAATAAAAACCACACTGATAAGATAAAATGTGTGTTTGATTGCATTTGTTGAGCCACCAACAGGGTATTTTCAGGTGCAAGGCTGAGGCTGGGTTCCTGTGCTAGCCAATTGCTTCTAGAGGCAGAAGAAACAGTGCTCATAAAAAAGAAGGAAGTGTTTGGGGCCTTCAGAATAGCACTTTAGCCTTTCTAGAAGCTTCCCCAGGATTGGGCTAGACTTCTCTGAGAGATGTCAACAATACCACATGCACTAAAGAAATCCCACAAATAAAATTTCTGGGCTGATTGGTTTTAGTTTACTCTGCTCTACCCATATTGCCATTTTTGGACAATCTTACCCATTTCTCTGTGGATTTTAATGAAAAGAACTTCTCATTCTTGCCCGGTTAAGTTTAAATGTTTTTTGCTGGTTGCAGCTCCAGGTTAGTTCCGTAGCCTTTAGGATGAGAGGAATTTTGTATGTGCCTTTTGTTGATAGGAAGTCTTAGTTCTGTAAATCTCATTAAGTCCCTTTCCTCTGAAGATTGTTAAATTATCCTGAGGGCTGTATGTTATTCTATGGTTTTATACCACGAAATAGCTTACTCTTTGTAGAGTGCATATGTTTGTGTGTACACATGATGACAGAATGCTGTGTGTGTTACAGCATCTCCGCTTTGTACAAGCCATTGACAGGGTTCTGTGTGTTACATTCAAGAAATCAAATTTAGCTGCCACAATAACTTAGACTCTAACAGGAAATATGAAATATTATTGATTTGATATGCAAATTAAGTATACTTGGCTGTTTTCTTAATTTGCATAATGTGTTATGCTTCTACAACTGGGTTATAGTCACAAAGAGCCACACTGAGTCATGAAGTCCTATTTTTCACCCTGCTCTGTCACTGAAAATTCTGCTCAGACATCCTTCCTATTTCTGACATTTCACTACACTTTTTCCAGCCTCTCTCCTGAACCTGAATGACTAGAAAAATGTTTCCCCCACCATATGTGTGTGTGCACGTCTAAGCAGTTACACTTCAGATTCTCAAGGGGTTGAGTCTAGTACCTGCTCCTGAATTTGGATGGTGAGGTTGTGGAAAGTGCCCAGTGAGTTTTAGCTGTTGGGCAATATTGAAATGAAATGAAATTAAATGCTTACAACCCAGGCCATCATTTTGTTTTTTTAATCCATGATAATAACAGTCATGCACTCTTAATAGGCATTTAGCAGTATTCAATAGAAAATTGGCAAACCCCTCTTTTTTGGGTTTTTGTTGTTCTAGAAAATATTTAATAGTGAAATGAAATGTACTACTGATAGAGATTAACTTCTTATATTTAAAATGTAGTATATGGAAAGAAACTCATTTTGCACACATGTAAAACATTCATTCTGTCATGCACGCAAGCGGCCATTTCTCCCACCCTTTGCTCATCACTTTTCTCCAGTGGTAGCTCCTCCTGCCCTGCTTCCTTTTCCCTTGCAGCCCCTGTAGCTACTGACCTTTACTTAACTTGCTTGTTACTTATACCTTGGCCAGCACATATTAGCCAGCACATTAGATGCTCAGCACTTAAAACAAATTGAAATCAACTCCAGCAGGGTTCTTGCTTACCCGATAGCCCACCAATGAAGTAACATTAACATGTTTTATGCAATTATTTCTTAATGAGCTTAAGGTCCTACACAGTGTTTATTTCACACATTTCAAATTAACTGCTTTATGCATTTGCAAAAAACTTCAGTTCCATTTTGCAGTTCATTTTTTGTAAATTCATCCATTGTTTATAGCTGATTGACTCTTCCAGAAAAAAGCCTATCCTCCATTCATTTCCAAAAAGTAAAAGAAGTAAAGAAGACTTCATGTCTGAAAAGGCAGACCTCTAAGACCAGGATATCAGAATATGTCTTTCATTCATGCAAGCAGCCCAGACTGTATAGGCAAATTTAATACATGAACCATGTGATCACAGATAAGTTCAGAGGCAATTTCTGTGACTGAGGTAGCTGGAAAAAGAACACATCATTTGATGGCTGTTAAAGAGTGAGATAAAATTGCAACAAAAACTGTGTTTTTCAGATGCATCAATCCAATCAGAATTCTTGTTTCCTTTGGGCCAAACTAGATGTTATAATTAATGCATGATTGCCAGTGAAAATGGTAACATTGCATCCAATTTGTAACTATACCTGCCTGTCATGACATTCTGCTCTTCCCCACCCCACCAGCAGCAGCCTAAGACAGCCAATGGTAATAGGAAATCTACTTTGAAAATGTAAACAAGTTGGGGAACAGCTGTGCTGCAATGAGTCACTTTTAGGTTCCCCATACAAATGAGCATTGTAAACAACCCAGCATTCACACAAGGACTGAAGATAAAATTCTTTACCATGTCTGTCTAAACAGCTGCAACCATATGCAAATTAACGGTGAAATGGTTGTACTATTTTTTTTTAAGAATAATGTTTTTATTTTCTTAAATAAATTATAGTCTGTTAATGATGGCTCTTTCTTTTTTTTCTTCAAGGTGTGGGGTTAAGGGACTGAACTGAATGAATGTAACAAAGCAAACAAGAATGCCTCTTCTCAGGGCCAGTGAGTTGCAAATAATTTTTAAATGCTTGTAATTACATCATCTCAATAAATTTTTTAATATAAAAATGTGTTGTCTTCCTTAAGCATATGTCACATGTCAAGATTGCTCTTCACTCTGGTGTCTCTATTTTATGCACACCTTTCCAGCAAGATCCTTTACCCAATGTGTTAATCACAACAGCCAACATTTAAGATGTTATGCCAGCAGGCATTTAAAATGTTATGCCTGGTGGTTCTTCCATGCCCCCATTGTATGTCTCATCAGAGCAAATGTGTCATTTCTCCTGGTGTTAGCTGGCACAAACATGTAACATGCCCACTTCAACAAAGGTCCTGCACACTTTGGTAACTCTTTTCTTATGTACTAGGGCACAGTGACCATTTACTTAATGTTTTCTCTGTTTGGACGTAAAGTCTTTTGTTAACCCTTTCCTCAAACTTTCTTCTTAATCCTGAACTCTTCACCTGCATTCATAGAATCACAGAATCATAGCTGAGTTGGAGAGGGCTTATTACGGCCATCAAGTCAATGCAGGACTCCAAGTATCCCTGCCAGATGACTGTCAGCTGCCTCCTGAATGCCTCCAATATGGGAGAGACCACAACCTCCCAAGGCAATTGGTTCCATTGCCACACTGCTATAAGGAGGTTTTTCCTGATGTCCAGCCAGTAGCTGCTTTCCTGTGACTAGCGCCATGTCCTGCACTCTGGCATGATTGAAAATAGAAGTAAAATGGCTGTCTTTAGTGAGTCCCTGTCCATTGGTATGTTTGGTAAATATTATGCTCTAGAGGCAAAATTACTTTTGACTGCCTTTTAAAAGAAAATTAGATAATGAGATTAGGCTGCACTGATAATAGCTGCAAATAATTTTTTGTATAATCTCTTTTGAAATCTAAGAGGTTTTAATATGTAATTTAGCTTGTTAAATGAACTCTTGGCATAGAAAGAAGATCGTGGCATAAGGTAAGAACTTCGTAGTAAGAAAATTTCCTATTTTTGATGCTTTTTGGAAGGATGTTGAACAATGGCTTGAAAAGCAGTATTAAATAAATACTGATGTTTATGTTGTAATAGGAAATTTTATTAAAGTGGTACCTTGGCTCACGAACAAATTGGTCATGAGCCAAGTCAAATTTCCCCATAAGGATTAGTGTAAATAAGGTTAATTCGTTCTGCAACTATTTTTTACTCACAAAAATTTGAAGCAAAGTGACAACAACAAAGATTGTGGCCATCTCCCCCACCCCCCAGCAATCGTGCGGGGGGTTGAGGGGAGACAAGTGCTATCGCGGGCATGCTGGGGGGAGGCGGGCGTGAGCACGCGGGGGGGAAGGGTGCAGGCGCGTTGGGGGGAGGCGAGCGCAGGTGCGCTCGGGCAGGGAACACAGGCGCAATCGCAGCTATCTCCTCCCCAGCACGAATGTGGCCATCTCTCCCCACCCCCAGCACTACCACAATTGCGCCCATGCAGGGAAGGAGGGTGGGCTTGTGATCGTCACCTGATGCAGAGTTTGCGACCTGTGGCAAAATTTTTATGACATTTTTGTTCGTGACCTGATTTGGTCGTGAACTGAGGCGTTTGTGAGCCAAGGTACCACTGTATTTGGAAATTACGTATTCCATAGAGAGCATTTGGTAATGGAAGGAGAATGGAGTTGTTTTTAGCTCATAATACTGTATGAGATCCAAAGCATATGAGCTTTTGTATATGTTTTGTATTTGGCTCTGTATATACTAAAATTCTTGGCAAGCCCTGAACAAAACCCAGCACCTCAATACAGTGCAGACCTGTGCACAGAAGTGTCCTTTGGACCACAGGGCACTCTGGAAAGAGTTTGCCAACCCACCATACCACATTAGTCTATTTCCATCTATTTTGTGATGGAATTATCCATGCCTAACTATGAGTGAGGTTATCCTGACTGCAGGATTCACTTTCTTGAGAATATCAGTTTTTGTGCGGTAGGAGGGAGCATCATTGTTTCCACAGCATGCTTTCTAGACTTCCTTATGACTGTTAAAAAAGAGAAGCAAGGTGAAGTTACTTAATTTATGTAAGTCACAGAAAAAATAGATTTGCAGCAGCCAAAGCAATAGTGATTAGTTTGTGTCATCTTCCTATTTTCCTTAGCCAGAAACTCTTTCCTGCTGGTTTGTCAAGAATTCACAATCTTTCAGTCACTAGTAGAGAAACATATTCTGCACAGAAATTGCTCAATAGAAAATACAACAAGGAATGTTTTCCATTGTCTCCTCTCCACAGAGAGTGAAAAGAACTTTGAGATACCTTGGGATGCAGCCAGTCTGAAATTGCAAGAAGGCATTTGTTGAAATCTCACTGAAGTTAAGGCTTTCATTAGAACAAACTCAGGCACCTGAAAAAATAGTTTCCAGTCTATAATGATTTTTCCCCTTGCATCCCAATGTACCTTTTAACATCTTTCATTTCTTCTTTACTGCTGATAACACAGCCCTGGGTATACATGGGTGAAGAGAGTAGATTGCACTGAGGAGGGAAAACAATGTCCCCAGCAGATTAGGTGCATTAGTTGCCTTTCATCGGGGGGGGGGGGGGAGTGTTTCAAAATGAGCCCTCCTTCTCTTACTTCAGGTGGAAGTTCAGGGAGTGTCAAGTTAAACAAGAGAGCATGGCCCCAATCCTCTCCTGCTGCTGCCCTTGTGTTCCTCTTCCCCTTTGCTTATTTTATTTCCCTCTCCTGGTCCTTGCACAAATCTGTCCTCTTCTGTTGACATTTAGATTTTAAGTTCAATATGGAAATCTGTCCTTTCTGTTTATATTACACCCCACAACATCCATATTTTTAGGTGTGCACCAACAAACAGAATGCATGACATGGCCCTAGCACTTAGCTTGTTAAATATGCCACATGTTAAATATGCCACATGCTTTATCTCAGAACATTATACTTAAAATCTCTACATCTGAAGTATTTTTACCCCATATTGGCAACGGAGGAGTGCACTGAGAGAGAAGTATCTTCCTTAAGTCCCTGGCTAGGGAAGACCTGACCTAGGATTTGCTACTTCAACTTTCACTTTCTTGGGTTAAAACTGAAGATGAGCTGGGCAGCCACATCTGTTGTTTGTTTGTTTATTTATTTATTTAAAGCATTTCTATGCCGCCCCATTCACAAAAAGCCTCAGGGTGGCTTACAAAACAGATTCATTCACACAATTAACCTTAAAAATTTTGGAGACATTTTGGCACACTATAAAACCCAATAAATAATCATTTAACAATTAAAATAACTTTTTAAATAAAAAGGTCTTGGCCTGGTGCCGAAAAACAAATAACGACAGCGCCAGGTGGACCTCTCTGGGGAGCACATTTCATAGGTGGGGCGCCACCACAGAGAAGGCCCTCCTCCGGGTACACCCCCTCCTAATATCCTTCACGGAGGGTTCCCGGAGAAGGCCTCTGCCGCCGATCTCTTTTTCACTTAGGTTTAAGAACATAAGAGCCTTGATGGAGGAATGGAGTTTGCCAGGCAGTGGAGAAAGAATAAAGGACTTCAGGGAGAGAACAAAGCGGAGAGGTCATCTGTGACCTGCTTTTAGTGTCAAAAATTACACACAAATGTACACAGACATATGGATAGCCAGCCAGCCAGCAGCCCTTAATGATGACCACCAGCTTCACCTCTCAGCTCCCCCAGTTTTAAACGCATCCTGCCACCTGTTCTTTTCTAAAGACAGTATCTAGGAAGCAGTCACAAAGGCAAAGGGCCTTGGTGACCCTCCAAGTCAAGAATTTTCTCATGAATGTACGCATAAATGCTGGTGTTGGCATTGGTGCCCCACCCCCAACATGTGTAAGAAGCCACCAGGCCCCACCAGGTCAGGCCACCCCCATGTTCTGACTGGAAACACACAAGAAGCTAGGCCTGAGGATAAAGGTGGAATGGAGGCCTGCCTGAAAGGGTCTCAAGTCCATAAGAGTAGGGTAGGTCCATTGTGAGAGATCAAAAGTCAGTGGCCGCAGCTGCCGCTAAGGCTCATCAAGAGGAGCCAATTGAGTTCTGGGATGTGCCAGAACAAGAGGAAAAGCAAAGGAAAGGGGAGGATCCCTTTGCAGCAACCTGCCCTGCTCTCCTTTGACTAGTTACCTGGCATGGCCCATCAGAAAGAAACCAAACCACTGCCAGTATGGCCAAACATAGACTTACCCTTCAGTGTGGAACCAGCTGATGAGCCTCGGGTGCAATGAATCCATGCCAACAGGAACTGTCAAGACTTGCTACAGGCTGCCAGAGGAAGGTGCCTCAAGAAGGGCAGGTAGTTCACAGTGTTGGGCATTGTGTTGATTTAAAGCCAGGAAGAGGGAAATGGGATGCAAGTCTTTTCCATGAGTAAGGATCTCTAAGGTGCCTTGGCCTCAGTCGGGCAACTAGGGGCAAAGACTTACAAATAAAGTCTCTCTCTGCTTACCTTAATGGCTGATGAATATGGAGGCTAAGGAAGAGGGTGGGTTCAATGTACCCCTTCATGAGGAGGGGCGCACACCATGCAAGCCCAGCTTTGAGAGTTGGAGAGGCACATGGATGACAAGCATGGCTGCCCCTTCAGGACTGGTTTGGTTCCTTAGACACTATACTATAGTAACTCTTGACATCATGTAAAGAACAGCAAACTCAACAGGCTCACAAGGAATACACAGTTCAGAGATCTCTGATTCTCCTTCCCAGTGGTCCAGAAAGCATATCTGTATGCATGTGCAGGAAAGTTCCAGGCAATCGGAGTAGTAACCCACACTTACTAGTGTCTGCCTTTTCACCAAAAAAAAGAACAAAGCACAATGCCTCTTTTCTCTATTCCTTTCTCTCTTTTTTTCCTCTCCCATCCTTTTTTTTTTCTTTTTTCTTTTTTTTACAAAAAGGAACAAAGGACAATACAGAACATTTATAACTGACAACATCACTAGCAAACATGCAGGAAAAAGCCCACAGACACCCGTGTGTAAGAATTTCCCAGTGTCTCAAAATGCAGGAAGAGGATTGGTTACCAAGGACAACGCCAGAGGTTCAGGAGCACCAGTACATCCC